TGTAATTTAGGAGTACAAATTTGAATTTGCTTTTTAGTGTGTGTAAAAGTTTGTCAGCCTGTTTTACTTCTTTATTCAAAAGTACTTTTAAGGTTTAGTATAAATTAGGATAACATGAATTGCTTTGTATTATTCAACTTTGCCAGGATTAAAAATAGCAGCTAATTTGAAACCTCTGTTTAATCAGTCTATTAATGTTTTAGGTTGATGGTGTAAATATTCAGGGTTTTGCAAATCACGACGTTGTTGAAGTGTTACGAAATGCAGGGCAGTTGGTCCACCTAACCCTAGTTCGCAGGAAAGCGCCATCATCTGCTTCTCTCCTGGAACAGCCTACAGACAGAGGTAAATAATGTTGGCATCCCTCATTCCTCATGGAGTCTAGGTTTGAAGAATAGCAAAGTTATGGAAATTTTTCTGTGAGTTTGAGTAGGAAAAATTGTCCACTTTGAGTAATGCAGTGATGGAGAAATGAATCGGCTTGTTTGTACCTTGAAGAAGTGTTTTATGTGCTTATTATAATGTGTCAATCCAAATATTAGGACACAAATCTTGATATGCACTAAGCTTTTTGAGCTTCTTTAAAATAGAGATGGGAATCCAAAGAGCTTCTGAATTTCATTTACTGTTTGTATTTGAAAAATAAAACTTTGACACTCTTTATCAAAATTAAACAGGGAGCCACTCAACTTGTCTAATACTTTGACATTTTACAAACTTCAGGGTTTTTTTTTATTATTTTTATTTTTCCTTTTTTCTCCTCCTCCTGCTTTTCTTCCCTCCCTCTCTTCCTTCCTTCCTTCCTGCCTTTCCTTTTTCCTTTCCTCTTTTTTCCCTTCCTGCCTACCTCCATTACTGGGAATTGAACCCAAGGGGACTTTAACCACTGAATCACATCTCCAGCCCTTTTTATTTTTTATTTTGACTCCAGGTTTTGCTGAATTACTCAGGATGCCCTAGAATTCCTGATCTTCCTGACAGCTTCTGAGTCCCTGGGATTATAAGCATGTGTTACTGTGCCTGGTCACCACCGTTTTCCTCTAAATTGCTATGCTTCATATACCTTCAGTATGCATTCCTGTACCTATTTGTGTACTCCTAGAGGCATACAGTCATACTACTTTGTATTGTAAAATTTGGTGGTGTATAACACTTTTCCCCAGCTATACTAGCAGCTCTGATTAGCATTTTTTAAGAAAAATTGTGGTAACAAACACTTAACATTAAATTCACCCTCCGAACAAATTTTTAAGTATACAGGACAGTATTGTTAACTCTATTGCACATTGTGTGCAGGAGATCTTCAGAACTTTTCTGTCACATAATCAAAACTGCATACCCATTAAATAAATCCCTGTTTCTCCCTCTTCAGTCCTTGGCAACCACCATTCTGTTTTCCATTTCTATGACTTTGCTTAGCTACCTCACATAAGCAAGAAGAATCCTGTGGCATTTGTTCTTCTACCATGGGCTCATTTCACCATTTCATTTTGTGTAATGTCATCAAGTTTCACCATGCTATATATAGCATGTGACAGAATTGCTTTTTTTTTTTTTTGTTTTTTTTGTAGTTGTAGATGGACAGAATGCCTTTATTTTATTTGTAGTGCTGAGGATCGAATCCAGTGCCTCACACATGCTCATGCTAGGCGAGCACTCTGCCACTGAGCTACAGCCCCAGCCCAATTACTTTTTTAAGACCAATAATGTTCCACTCTTTGTACTACATTTTTAAATGTATTTATTCTTTTTTTAAATAGTCATTTAAAAATTTTTTTCTAATTTGTTATATATGACAGCAGAATGCATTACAATTCATATTACACATATAGAGCACAATTTTTCATAGCTATGTATTTATTTTTAATGTACACTTATGTTATTTATACCTGGTGGTTACTGTGAATAATGTTGCAATGAATGGTTGGCATTTTTTTTTTTTTTTTTGTACCAGGAATTGAACCCAGGGGCACTCAACAACTGAGTCACATCCCCAATCCTTTTTTGTATTTAATTGAGTGACAGGGTCTCCCTGAGTTGCTTAGGGCCTTGCTAAATTGCTAGGCAGGCTTTGAACTCCTTCCTGGCCTCCAGAGCTGCTGGGATTACGTGCGTGTGCCACCATACCCGGCTAGCATTTCTTATTTTAGTAGTTGGCTATGCATTTGTGGATATGAATGGATTCATTATCTAAAAAATATAATATAGTGCTTAAAGTTTCATGTTAAGATCATAGAAACTTTTTTTTAAGAGGATAGAGAGAGAGATTTTTAATATTTATTTTTCAGTTTTCAGTGGACACATCATTATTTTATTTTTATGTGGTGCTGAGGATCGAACCCAGCACCTCGGCGCATGCCAGGCGAGCATGCTACCACTTGAGCCACATCCCCAGCCCCTCATAGGAACTTTTAACTGGCTATATTTTTTAACTTTTTATTGTTAAAAAAATTTTAAACAAACAGGAAAAATAATAATATAATGAGTTTCAAAGAACACACTATTTAGATCCAATGGTTACTGTTTTGTCGTATTTCTTTATCTAGTTACCTTTTTTACGCTGAACCATATCAGAGTGAGTTGTAGACATGATGACACTTTATAAACTTTAGTCTATCTTATAAAAATAAGGACATTTTCTTATACAATTATATTTTTATCACACCAAAGGAAATTAATAGTAATTCCTAATATCAAATACTCAATATGTGCTTGAAATTCCAAATTTCCTGAAACTGTCTTTTACACTTTCATTTTCTACTCCTTCCCAACTCCAGTGCCCCAAAAAACTGCCACAAACCATGGCCCAGTCATGCATTGTATTCATTGCATTTGTCATGTTTTTTTTTTGGGGGGGGGGTCATTAATCTAGAAGAATTCACCTCCACCTCCATAGCCTAACCTTTTATTAAAATTAAAAAAAATAGTGCATTAGTTATGCATAATAGTGGGGTTTGTTTTGACATATTTAGAAATGCATATAATAGTTTTCTCCATTTCAGTCTCCAGTACTATTTCCTTCCCTCCCTTCTTCTCTGGCATAGACCTGTTGAAGGGATTAGTCCATATGTCACTAGAATGCCACATTCTGAATTTGTTTCCTTGTGGTGTTATTTAATTTGTTCTACCTATGTTTCCTTTGAGTTAGGAGTTACATAGTTAAGGAACTACGACTCCAGTTAGAATGGCAAGCCATCAAGATTACAAACAATAATAAGGGCTGGAAAGGATGTGGGAGGGAAAAAACACTTTTTTAAACTCTTGTTGGGATTTATAAATTACTATAACCACTATGGAAAATCAGCATGGTGGCTTCTCAAAAGATTAAGCATGGAACCACACATGACCTAGCTATACCACTCCTTTGTATTTATCCTGAAGAATTGTAGAGATACATGCATACCCAAGCTAATAGCGCAATTCACAATAGCCAAAGCATGAAACCAGTCTAGGCGTCCATCAGTGGGTGAATGGATGAAGAAAATGTGATATATAAACACATGGAATTTTATTAGCCACAAAAAAGAATAAATTTATGTCATTTGAAGGAAAATGGAACTTGAGACTGTTATGTTAAATGAAATAAGCTAAGCTCAGAAAGTCAAGGGTTGTATTTTCTCTCATGGAAGTTAGAGAAAATGAAAAAAAAAATGGAGCGGGGGTGATTCTCATGAAAATAGAAGGGAGACCACCAGGAGAGTAGAGGAGAGAGACCAGGGGAAGGAAAAGGGGAGATATTAGGGACTTTATTGATCAAATTATATTTTATATTGTATTATTTATAAATATGTAATAATGAATCTGTTATGTATAATTTTATTACACCAGTAAAATACTTGGAAGAAAAGAAGAGCTAGCTTTGTGCAGTAGCAGTATCATAGCCAATGAGGTTTACCCTCAGCAAGATTATTGCAAACTGAAATCAAAACTACTCTGAGATTGCCTCTCACGCCAGTTAGAATGGCAAGCCATCAAGATTGCAAACAATACTAAGTGCTAGAGAAGATGTGGGAGAAAAAAAACACTTTTTTACTCTTGGTGGGATTTGTAAATTAGTACAACCACTATGGAAAAAAATATATTTTTCCCAATATCCCACCATGACAATTTGAAATATAGTCAGCATTGGCAATTTTTGACAGCTCTATGGAACAAATGAAGAAGTAGTTAGGTCAGAATGATATTCAGGCTAAACATTTTAATAAGAATATTTTATAAATAATGTACAGTTATTTTCAAGATAAACTATTATGAAACTTGTTCAACTTTTCTTATATTTGAGAGACATAGTGACTTTCTGATGACTTTGGATTGCTCTAGTACTTTACTTATCTCAGCTGAGTCAAGAGAGAGGAGTGGTCTGCACCCAGGGGAATTCCCTCCCAGTCCCTTGCAGTTAATAAATCTGTTATACATATGGTGGTTACATGCTAGAACCTAGTGGAGCCCAGAGTAATTGGTTTAGCTTATTATGCATATCTTTTTTCCTACCCACCACAACAGCAAGAGCATCAAGCCTTGACATTTCTCCTATTCTAAAGCTGTATTGAAGGTCATCTGCCCTTGCTTTGTCAGGGACTTCCCCTTTTTTTTCTTTTATGTTGTTTCATTCCTTTTTCTTTTAATACTATCAACAAGTTTACTTTTGGAATCTCTTGATTCTTACACATGGCATTTTAGGTTAAAGAAATTAAAGGTATAAGTTACCTGAGATGGCCTTAATGAAGTTTTGAAAAGGGAGAATAGGAGTGACCTATGTTTACTTAAATACGCATCTCGGCTACTGGCGATTCAAGTCTCTGTTCTTGTTTTAGGAACTGTTGTAGAACCACCCAAATCACCAGCTCTCTTTATAACTGGAGCAGTGGAAACAGAAACTAATTTGGATGCAGAAGATGAGGATATTGAAGAAAGAATGGATAATCAAAAAAAGGACAATATACAAGCCTTAGAAAAATTGGGTAGGCCCAAAGCATTTATTTCAGAGCACTTTGACTTTTTCATTTGTTAACCACTTCCTCTCTTTATAGTTCATCTGAGTAATCATAGACATTTTGAAGATTTAAAATGGAGTATTCATAATATCAAAATCTTAACATTGTGGCAGTTGGGGACCAAGCATGTTCTTGTTTAATCTGTTAATTCCATTAATTTTGAGTACGTATTTGTTAGTATGTAATGACTGTTTTATCTTGTTCTTAGCATTTTTAATTATTGCGTACTTTAGCTTGTATATTAGCATTGATGAATATTCCTAGATTATAGCTATCTATACATGTAGCAGTGTTTCCCTTTCACCATAAAAATTAATAATTTTCACCATAATAATTAATGTAAATGTATATATATTTTAATATTTTTTTAGTTGTCAGCGGAACTGTATTTTATTTATTTATATGCAGTGCTGAGAATTGAACCCAGTGCTTGCTAGGCAAGTCCTCTACCATTGAGCCACAATCCCAGTCAATAATGTATATATTTTTATATTGCATCAAAGTTCCAGGATGCTATATATTTACTTGTTGATTTTCCTTTTACTTGCTCTGCACTTCTTCCTTTGACTTTGTACTTTGATATGTCAGCTATGACAGTCGACAATATTCTGCATAGATATGGAGTCACAACTTCATTCAGTTTCCCACCCACAGATGCTCAGGAAAGGCCTTGTCAACTGAGTGAAGTACCTTGGAACACTTATCACTATCTGTTTTCCAGAGACATTTTAGCTTTGTCTTGCCTCATGAAAGAATGGCCTCAAGGAAGGAGTTAGCCCCTCACTTAAGTTAAAAAAAAAAATTCCTGATTTGAAAACCTACCTTTCTTATTTTTGACCTAGGTAAATAGTAGTTAATCCTTGCTATTTTAATTCAGTTGAGCTCAGATTATTTTTAGTGAGATGTCTGGTGAAAGTAAAATACATTCTGAAGTTAGAAATAAATAAACAAATAAACAGATTCACATATTTTGGTATTGGGCCTGAACCCAGGGATGCTTTACCATTAAGTTATACTCATAGTTCATTTTATTTTCTATTTTAAGACAGGGTCTCATTAAGTTGCTGAGGTTGGCCTTGAACTTGTGATCATTCTACCTCAGCCTCCTGAGTCTCTTGAATTTCTAGCATAGGCCATCACACTGGCTAGATGTATTTTATATGTGCTTTTTGTTTTGTTTTTGTTTGGTTTGGTACTAGGGATTGAACTCAGGGTGTGGGTGCTTAACCACTGAACCACATCACCAACCCTATTTAGTTTTTTTTTTTTTTGAGACAGTCTTGCTAAGTTGCTTAAGGCCTCTCTAAGTTGCTGAGGCTGGCTTTGAATTTGCGATTTTCCTACTTTGACCTTTTAAGTTGCTAGAATTACAGGTGTGAGCCACTGTTCCAGGCTATTCATGCTTTTTGGATTAACTTCACTACATTTTTTTTCTTCCTGCATATGAACAATTTTAACTCAGTAGTAAAACTCAGATCTTCTAACTATTATAAAGTTAATTTTCTTTTTTGCTTTTGGAATAATTGTTTAAGATAGTCATGTTAATCATTTGTTTGATCATTTTGTGTAGCCTAGAATTTATTCAGCTCTGAAAGTAAATTAATCTCTTTCCTCTGACATGTAGTCCTTCGTGCTGTGCCTTATAAAGCATAACTGTGTTTTTATTATATAATTGAAAGGTGGAAAGTCAAAAGAATTATTGGTAAAATATCAACATTATTTTATATATGTGTATGAACTGTCATCTAACTATCATGTTTTTAGGCTTAGAATTCAGACAGTACATTGCAGATTTTTATTCAGATTCATTTACACATAAGAAATTAATGCCTAGAGGTAACTTATCAGGCAAGATGCTAGAACTCTCTTAAAAATTTCTAAAGAACTCCTAGAATTTCTTAAGGAAATATTAACAGGCACACACAGACACAAATGTGCAAAGCCCAAGTGAATTTGATATCTTGTTTTTAATAGGATCTTTGGTTATTGCCTAAATGTAATCTAGCATATCAGTCAGTTAATATAGTTATTTCATGGATGTTCTTTTGTATGTCTGTTAATTCAAGTTCTCTAGTGTTCATTAGTCTTAGACCCTGGTTTCTGAGGTTAGCCTGTTTTACTTAATGATTTGTGTTATGTGATCAAGCATCACATGCACCTGAGATGAGCTGTCTGTGCTGAAGACTGAAAGAGCTGATACTGCATATGACGTCTGATTTTAGGCAGATGGTCATGTCAGTTGTGATAAGTGTTCTGTAACTGGTCCAAGCTTATGACCAAATTGAGAGTTTAACTTAAAGAAAGAAGGTGGAAGTTTTTTTGTTATGTGAATATAAGTTAAAATTGTAGTTTTTCCATTTGAGCTTTTTTCTGGTCAACGTTATTCAGACTACAAACTGTGCTCTGAGCATCTGGCTAAGACCACATGGAGGACAGGCAAGGCACTTAAAATCTGTTTTAGCACTTTCAAATGATCTTCCCGAGGCAAGAAAGGCAATATTATATCAAGCAAATCATAAAGATACACAGATCCTAATAACAGGGACAGAAGACTGGTGTCAAGACCAAAGGTTGTGTTCTGTTAAAACTCGTACAGCTTGGAGTCAGACCAGACAAGCCTGTGTATCCATCTGCAGAGGTGGAAGCCCGCTCGTATCGTGTCGGTACACTGGATTGTAAAGATGTCTCAATGAGCTTTTATTTTTTCCAGTGGGTAGGAGGAATGGCACTATTTTGGAACGATAAACCTTTAAATTAAATCCTTGTATGCCATAAACAAATAAAACAAAGCCAGATGCATTTTACTGTTAAACTATAGAATGTTTACATATAAACTCTGTATAATTCAGATTTCACTTATAACTCATCATTTCCTCTTTCCTTCAAGATATTCCTTAACAACAAAAGCCCCGTCACAATTTTGTCACAGCTGGTCTTTACATTAACATTAGTCTTATAAGTTACCTCTGATTTACTTTTCCTAGTGGACCTAAGTTAATGCATTTTCCTTTTTATTCATTTCCCCTTTACTTACTGAAACTGTGCTGTTGTTGAAGAATTTAGTAGTTTAGTGTGTTTGGCTCACAGTAGCTTTAACGTTCTTTTTTTTTTTTTAAATGTCCAGAAAGAGTCCCAAACACTCCAGAAAATGAGCTGAAATCCAAATGGGAAAACCTACTGGGCCCTGATTATGAAGTAATGGTATGTTAAAATCCTCTAATAAAAAACATTCAATGTCTCATTTCATGTCAAGTTCCTAACAGTACAATTGAAAGAAATGGGAGAGCCAAATAATAACTAGCCTGCCTTAATTGTTTTTTTATCCTGCCTTGTTCTCTATTGGATCAATTGATTTTTTTTCCCTTTTCCTTCTTTTTTAATTTTATCATTTTAAGCTATATGAGATAGTTAAGGATTGTACATAAGCTTCAGTTACAATTAGTAGACACTTAGTTCATGTTGAAATCATTTAAGTTGACAATAGGCAGAAAAATATTAGGGGAGAGAGGGCTCGCCTTTAAATTTATAACCTGTATCAGCTGCTTGAAATTGTTGGCATTTTTATGATTGCTTTTATGATCTGTTTGTTTTATTGTACACCGAAAGGACTGTGGATATTAGTCCTATGTTTCACAAAGAATCTTACAGTTTTATGAGAAAAATGAAAGAATAATTATCAAATGTATTTAGAAGAACAGGAAGTAATTTAGGTGAGGTATAAGTTTATAGTGCCAGTGGTCCATTAGGCTTCCTTTCACCTGTTATTAGGTTCATCCAGTAAGGGATTGGTTACATTTCCCCATATGAATCCACATGAAAGCAGAAAGTGGTGTTAGAAAAGCCCAGGCAAGGTTCACAAATGCAGTAGTAATCAAATATTCTTTTAAATTTCTATTGTCATTCACATTTTCTTACATATGTTTATCATTAATACTTCCTGGAGACTCTTTTTCTCTTGGTTTTGAATATCCAGTCGCTATTGTCAGGAAATTTCCAGTGTCCTTAAGATGAGTCCAAATGGTTCACACTTAAACTGCCTTTGCTAATTTTGTGCTCGTGTGTCAGTTCTCACAACTGTTGCTTCTCTACTCCACAGACTGAGAATCCTGTCATTAGCCTACCATCTAGCAAATGGCCTTTTCCCCCCCATCCTTAGTAGTTTGTTATTCAAAAGAATGTGGTTTACCAGTATTCACCAATGGCCAGTATTGTGATAGGCTTTTGTTTGTTAAAATTTTGTCCTCCTCATAACTACCTTTCCAGATTTTATTGATTCTATGGTGAAGTCATAACCGAGGGATTAAAAAGAGGAGATGGAAATTAAAGTTGGAACTTTAAAGTGACAGCTTATTCATTGAAACTTGTTGGCTTCTTGTTCTGAGAAATGAGGGGCAAAAAGAGGAAGCCAGGCAAGATGGATGAATGAATGCACATATTCTACTATTTCTTATTTTCTTCAAGGGTCTACTTATCTGAAATGTACTTTTAGAAGCTTTAGTTGGATCATTGTTTAACTTATCCCCTCCCTCCAGATGCAGCATATTTTATTAACAACTTACAGATGCAAATCGTCTATGAAGTACTTTTGCTTGCAAGGAATTTGCTTCTCTGGATGTCCACCACTGAAGCTCAGAACAATAGTTTTAGGCCAGGATTTAAAGCTTTAAGTATTCCCCACATTTCCCACAAGGGACCAGATCTTTCTGTTTGTGCCTTTGCCAGCTATTTCTCCTGAGGAAGTGAGCTTGTTATAAAAAGTCAGATGCTCTATTTTACCAAATTTGCCTGACTTTACTGACCTTGCAAATTTTAAGAACCAACTTTGAAAGTAAAAATGGCCATGCTCTTGCTTTTGTCAAAAGAGTATAATTTTTATGGATTCAATATAATGAAGGATTATATTAACATTTTAGGGATCGAGGATTTTTAAAAATGGTAGAGTCGGCTCTCTGTATCTGTTGATTACATGTTTGTAGATTCCACATTCTTTTCAACCAACTGTGGATCAAAAATATTGAAAACAATTTGCATCTGTACTTTGTTTTCTTGTCATTTCCTAAACACATAAGAACCATTTATACAACAGTTACATTATATTATGTATTACGCGATTAATCTAGAGATGACTTAAAGGGTGTATGTGAATGTATTCCTAGATTATATGCAAATACTATACCATTTTATGTAAGGGACTTTGGATTTTGGTATTCTTGGAAGTCCTGGAACTAATCCCCAGCAGATAAGTGAGAGACAATTATATTTATTTGCCTTTACCCTTCCTTTAACTTTTGGATAATTTAGGAAAAAAGATTAATATTGAGCAAAAATATAACAATTTTATATTAAGCTCTATACATATGTGATTTCGGAAATACAGGACAGAGGTTTTCAGATGGAGTGGTCAACATATTATAGGTTTTGCAGATGTTTTCAGAAAATCTAGGAAGAAATAAAATTGTGCTTTGACAAATATGGAAATATTTTTCTTTGAAATTTAGGTTGCTACTTTGGACACACAGATTGCCGATGATGCTGAGTTACAGAAGTATTCAAAGGTAAGCACTATATTTTTAACATTACCAGTCTCTTATAGTCGTGAAGAACCTTCTCTAAATTCTTGCTGAATCAAGTGGGTTATGAACTCCCATTTTAACCCACTTGAATCCAATGTATGAAATATGATATGTCAAGAACTATGTAATGTTTTGAACAACCAATAATAAAAATTAAAAAAAAAATTCTTGCTGAAGAAACTGTGTGACCTGCAGTTTCCAAAACTTAGTCATAGATGTTTTCTGGAATTGTCATGGGTTCTCATTGCTATGAAAGGTGATGGTTGGATATGCCTGGGAGAGTGAGATCCCTCAGCCACTTTTAGAAGCCACACACCCAGGTGTGACTCACTGGCCCACCTGAGAGGTAGTACAAGTAACAGAGAATGTTAGCTTTTCAAGTATCATAAGAAGTGTTTTGAATAATGTTTCATGAAAATCAAGTCCAGGAACATAGACTTTAAAAAAGCCTCAGGTCCAGATGTTCATCTTCTGAGTACAGGCAGTGGTTGTTCTTAAACTCAAAAACATTTTTTTTTTAATCTTTATTTTTAATGGCAAAATGTGGGAAGGTAACTTTGACAGATTTTTTTGACTTTTTTTTTTTTTTTTTTTTTAGTATTCTCTCACTATAAATTAATTTTATAGTTTCAGATGTAGATAGTCAAGGGAAGGGCCAGGGCAATTAAACCTGGAGAAAACTTCCTGGTGGCTTTCTCAGCAAATGATATGCAAGGCAAGATTTTCCTGCCAAAATAGTTTCAAAAAACATTTTGTAATTCCACATGAGAGATAAAAGCTGAGCCCACCTTAAACTCTGCAGTCAGATGCAGTACTCAGCATGGATTTTTCAGGGCCCCATCTGGGTTTTGTAAGAAGTGGAGTATCTCTTTAGATAGTTCTACTGTTTCTGCCTTTGTGTATTTGTGATGAATATTTTTCTTTCATAATTTTGTTACATGTGCTCTTGTCTCTTTGGTTTGTATTTTCAAGGCTGACACTGGAGATTATTTCTTTCCTTCTAAGCTTTCCTATATTTTGAGCCACTTGTTATGACTGTTTTGACCAACTGACCAAGCTTTCCTTAGATGCACAATGTAAAAGCTACATGGCTCACGTTGTAGTTAGTTTTAAATTATTTGCCAAGTCAGCTTTATATTAGATAAGTCATTGATTAAATAATTCCATCTAAAGATGTTTAGGGAGATTTAATTCAAAATAACAGGAAGAAATTGAATACTTCTTCAAACTTCAATTGCTCTTAATTACTATAATATGGTTGAACATTTACTTGAGTCCTAAAACCAAACTGCCTGAGTTCAAATCCTACCTTACCCAGAGTTTGATAGCTGGGTGATTTTGGAAAATTATTTAAATTATGTATCTCAGTTGTGCATGTAAAATAGGACTATCAATAGGTTATTAATGTTATTAGTTGCTTTATGATTTGCATAAGAATGCATCTAGAATATTTGTAAGCACATAGTAGGCTGTTATTTATTTTTTATGACTCTGGGGATCAAACCCAGGGTCATGTGGCCACTGCAATGTTTTACCACTTGCCCCTTGTTGGTTTTATTTTTATTCTTGTCTTTACCATACAAATCAATTGATGTTTAGCCCTAAAATTAGTTTTTAATTTATACTAAACTCAGATATTAGAAAGTTTCTATATAACTGTCTTCTGATTTACGGGGTTTCCTGTGCCTATTCTACTTGTAACACCCATCTACAGAATGCTTAATTTTAGTTATTTTTCTATTTTGGATTTTCCATTTTAGAGTAAAATTTTGAAGTGAAATTCTCAATGCAAAAACAACAACAGCAACTCTATTTGCCATCTTCTAGTTCTTGAACATATTAATCATAGATTATAAGGACTTTAATTCAAATATCCAGGTGAATTTTTTTTATCTGTTTTCTACTGTTTGGTGTTTTCTCTTATTATTGGTTTTTGGTTGTTTTTCCATAATGCCATAATTTGAATGTCCAACATTATGAATGACAACTACAGAGGGGTTCAGGGCTTCTGCTGATGTTAGAGTGAGACATCTCTGGATAGAGAAAGCTATCTGTTGATAAATGGGGGGTTATTTATGCTGGTGGGCCACCCTCTCAGTGAGGATGCAGGGGAAGTTCTGGAAGGGTTCAGTCTCTTTCTGGTTTTCCCTCGTTTTTAGGATATTGCCTTCCAGGAATTCCAGGTCAGTGCAGGGAGTGTTACTGTCCCCTCAACCCAGTAGGACCATCTCTTCAGCACTGTGGGGCTGCTGGAAACTTTATATTGCTTTTCAGAGGTTTCCAGATTCGCTTTTCAACGTCCTGTGCCATATGGCTGTAGACTTTGGGGAGTTGTCCTTGGCCAGAAAACATGTCCTGGATTAGGCTCAGTTCATCATATGGTACAGGTTTTGTTATCTGTCCTTTTATGCATGTTCAAAGCCATGGTGACCAATATCATCATATTTCATGATATGTGAGAAAGGACAGACAGTAAGCACACTGACTTGGTGTTCACTTCTCAAGAACGTGATTCTCTCTCTGTCCCGGCAGAAGGTATTCTTCTGTCTTGTCCTCCCTCATTGCCTACTGCTAGCCTTACTCACTGTGTCTTCTCTCTTGAGCAGCCTCTATGCAGTATACATATTTGTATTCAGTAGTGCTGGTGTACAGGGTGGGGAGGAGTGAACAGAGCTTCAGAACCCCCTTGTGCAGTGTTCCAGTACATTCAGCTGTTCATTCATTCATTAATTCACCCACTCATCAAATAGTCTACTTGGTGTCAAGTCTTTTGCGCATTTGGGATTCCAGAAGAGAACAAAGCAAGGGGTGTGTGTGTGGGGGGGGGGGAAATCCCTGCTTTGTGGGATCTATTTCATTGGGGGAGACCAAAAATAAATAAGTTGCTTAGTGTTGGTGACATGTGTTGTGGAGACAGGGAATTCAGGTGTGGGGTAAATTTGCAAGGCCTCATTAAGATGACATTTGAGGAAACACTAGGTGAAATACTTGCCTAATTTTTCTTCTAAATAGTATGAACAATAATACCTGTGTTGCAGAATATTAAATATAAATACATGTAATAATTCAAAGTACACGTATGAAGACACAAATTGGTGTGAATATACTTTGTATACAACCAGAGATATGAAAAATCGTGCTCTATATGTGTAATAAGAATTGTAATACATTCTGCTATCATATATAAATTTAAAAAATTATATAAATAAATATACACATGTGATATGTGCCTTAGTTAATATAGGGCAGGGATAGCACATCAGAAATGGCCAATAAATACAGATTTTATTTCCTAGAGGTATACCTCTAGTCCTTTTTAGACTTTTCAAAGCCCCTTTTCTTTCTTTGTTTCTTTCTTTATAAATATTTATTTACTTGTAGTTGAACACACAGTATCTTTATTTCTTTTTATGTGGTGCTGAGGATTGAACCCAGTGCCTCACACATGCAAGGCAAGCACTTTACCACTGAGCTATAGCCTCAGCCCCCCCCAACCCCCCACTTCTTTTAATGTGCTATTTTAAAACATCTAATTATTGAATTGAAATTTTGTTTTGGAAAAAGCTTCCCCCCCACACTCTGGAAGAGAATCACCCATAATTTTATTTTCTTCCTTTCATGTTTCATTATTACTTGTATATATGTTTGTAGCCAGTATACTCTTCCTTTGTTTAACAGGCATATGAGAGAGAAGGGGTGTATAATGTTTTCATACATTTTCCTACATTGATTTCTGAATTGAAAATGTCCATAGAATAATTCTTCATTTTGATAAGCCATACACACACACACACACACACACACACACACACACACACACACACATTTAATTTGGTGGTGCTAGGGTTTGCACTTGGGGTCTTCTGCATGCTAGGCAGTTGCTCTACTACTAAGCTACATCCTCAACCCTGTAATTTTTCAAATCCCCTTGTAATTGGAAGTTTAGGTCATAAGTCAGTAACTTCTTATTTTCTCCCTAAGTGTAGCCAATCACAAGCATTTCACAGAAGAGAATGCTAAAAGTTGCACAGTTTGAATGACTAGCCCAAAATTATACAACTGTATAGCAGCAGAGAGTGGACTATTAGTGTTTTCATTTACTCTTGAAATAGTTACTGAGCTCCTACTATTTGCCAAACATTGTGCTGCTATCTCTGAGGAGCGAAATGTTGTAAGACCTTGCTTGGATTCTGGGTTTGGGTAGAGACATAGTAATAGACAACTGAAAGATAACTGCATAATAAACTTATTAATGCCTTGTAGATTGGGAGATGTTCTATAAATGAATTAACAGGGTGAACAGAACATAACTGGAGAAGACCACTTTATTATTATTATTTAATTTTTCAAAAATTTATTCTAATTTTAATTCAATTTTCTCCATGAACAGTGGGGATGAGGAACATTGAAAATAGCTCTTACAATTCTCTGTAGTTTTTCTGTTTTACTTAAGGGAGCAATTCTCTTCTTTTTGCATGTATGATGTTTATTCATTTTTATCAGTGAATAGTATTTTTATATTTAATTTTTAATTGACATTTGTGCTTATTTATGGTGCACAGTATTAAAACTTGATAAGTGTACATAATATGTAATGATCAAATCAGAATACTCAGTATTTCCATCTCAAATATTATCATTTCTAGAATTGAGACCATTTTAAACTCTTCTCTGTTTATTTAAAATGTGTAATAAACTGTAGGTACCCTATTGTGTAATAGTACATTGGACCTACTTCTGTCCCTCTAACTGTACCCATTATCCACCCTGTCATTGTCCTCTCCCCTTCCATGCCTCTAGTGACCTCTATCCTACCTTCTCCTGTGTAGCTATCTTTTTTAGGGGAGGATACTTTGGAGAGGAAGTCAGGGAAAGCTGCTTGGAAAATAAGAAAACCTTGTCTATGAAGGCAAGCCCATCACACATGAAGATGCTCCTTGAATCTTTAAGAGTGGAGGCTGCAGGGTAGCAATGATCTAAAG